CCCCTGCCCCGCACGAACACACTGGCCTGCCTCAACCTGGGTAAGGGGCCCCCCCGCGACCCCCCTGCTGGTACCAGACCCCCCTGGCCCCTCCCCACAGACTCCATGGCTTGGGAGCCCATCCTCATGGACACGCTGGAGGACAACATCCCGCGGGCCCGGGCGGGGCACTGCGCCGTCTCCATCAACACCCGCCTCTACATCTGGAGCGGGCGCGACGGCTACCGCAAGGCCTGGAACAACCAGGTGTGCTGCAAGGACCTCTGGTACCTGGAGACCGGTGAGTGCCGGGCCCCAGGGGGGGCGTTTGTAGACAGCTCGGCCTGAAGCGACCGCGGGAAGCGGAGAGTCGCCCGGCGCAGAGCAGGGTCCCCCGGGGGTGGAGGGTGGGAGAGCAGGGTCCCCAGGCGTGGGGGGGAGGCGGGCGGAGAGTCGCCCGGCACAGAGCAGGGTCCCCGGGGGGGAGGGGGCGGGCGGAGAGCAGGGTCCCTGGGCGCGGGGGGCTGGGGGATCTGGGGCCGGGGGGAAATGCCCGGCAGGGGGGCGGCTGGGAGATCTGGGGGTGGCTGGGGGGGTGCCAGTGTCTGACCCCTGCCTCTGCCCCCAGAGAAGCCCCCGGCCCCCTCGCGGGTGCAGCTGGTTCGGGCCAACACCAACTCACTGGAGGTGAGCTGGGGCTCGGTGCCCACGGCCGACACCTACCTGCTGCAGCTGCAGAAGTACGACATCCCAGCGGCTGCCTCGCCCGCCCCCGCCCCGGTGCCCTCCGTGCCCGCCAACCCGCCCAAGAGCCCTGCCCCGGCCGCCGCCGCGCCCGCCCCAGCCGCCAGTCAGCCCCTGGCCCAGATGGGCATCACCCTGCTGCCCCAGGCCGCCGCCCCCACGCCCACCACCACCATCCAGCTGCTACCCTCCGTGTCCGGCACGCCCCTGTCCGTGGCCAGCCCCGCACGCACGCAGGGTGAGTGGTGCCGGCCTCAGCCCTGGGCGGGGGGCCCGGACTCCCTTTGGGGGGAATGGGGGGGAGCAGGGGCCTGGACTCCCTTTGGGGGAGCGGGGGGGGTGGGGGGGGCCGGACTCCCGTGGGGGGCGGGGGAGGGGCCCAGCCTCCCACTGGGGGGATGGGCAGGGGCCCATTGGGGGGCGGGGGTCTCCCTCCCCCTCTCACGCTGCCCTTGCCCCGGCAGGTGTCCCGGCCGTGCTGAAGGTGACAGGCCCCCAGGCGCCCCCAGGGCCCCCCCTGGTGACGGTGCGCTCGGCCGGGCAGGCGGGCAAGGCCCCGGTGACGGTGACCTCGCTGCCGGCCGGCGTGCGCATGGTGGTGCCCACGCAGAGCACGCAGGGCACGGTAAGTAACCTGTGCCGGGGGGGTTCCGGGTCCCGCCTGCAGGGCGCCCCTGACCGCTTCCCTCTGCCCCCAGGTGATCGGCAGCAGCCCCCAGATGAGCGGTATGGCCGCCCTGGCAGCCGCCGCCGCCGCCACACAGAAAATTCCCCCCTCCTCCGCGCCCACCATGCTGAGCGTGCCGGCCGGCGCCACCATCGTCAAGACCGTTGCCGTCTCCCCGGGCACGGCCACGCTGCCCAGCACCGTCAAGGTGGCCTCCTCCCCCGTCATGGTAAGAGATGCCCGGCCCCGCAGCCCTGCCCCAGAGCCGGGGAGAGAACCCAGGATCCTGGCTCCCAGCCCCCCTGCTCTGACCCACCAGCCCCCACTCCCCTCCCAGAGC